GATAGATAGATAGATAGATAGATAGATAGATAGATAGATAGATAGATGATAGATACAAAATATGTAACTATATATGGATATACAGAATATCTATGAACATACAGAATATATGTCTGTGGAAGGAATATATATGACTGTACAGAGTGTTTATGAACATATTGAATATAAGTATAATGCACAGAGAGTTTATACAAGATATATTATATATTATCAGGGAAAGTATCAGTGTTTATGTGGGGATAGACGAGTTAAGGAGTTCAATAAGGAGACCACTGTATGGTAGAAGCTGTTCCTTAGCCTGCTGGTCTTTGTGTTCTTCCTTCACATAGTCCTCTCTCCCTGTCTAGGTATCCCTCCAGCCAGCGGCACGGGCACCCTCCAGATCTACCTAATTGACATCAATGATAATGCCCCTGATCTCCAGCCAAAAGAGGCCCAGATATGCGAGAGGCCAAATCTGAATGTCATCAACATCACAGCCGCGGATGCTGACATCGATCCAAATGTTGGCCCTTTTGTCTTTGAGCTGCCGAGCGTGCCATCTGCCATTAGGAAGAACTGGACCATTAAGCGTCTAAATGGTAAACCAAGCAGCCAACACCTGGCGTTGTTCGTAGCTTGGCACAGTGGGCCTTCAGACTTTAAAACATTTTGTGCCGTCTTCAGTGTGAGTGTGTGAGTGTGTGTGTGTGTGTGTGTGTGTGTGTGTGTGTGTGTGTGTGTGTATATATGGTGTTCGGCTTGGTTCGGGTATTTTCCCACGTCATTGTAGTTCTTTTAAAGTTGTAGCAACGTTTCAGCAGAATCTCATCTGCCATCATCAGGCTTCTGTATTGTGTCCGTCTGTGGGTCAGACTTTTACAGTGGTTTCAGATTTAAATTTGGGGCAGCCTATTGCTGTGCCAGAATGGTTTTTTCTTCATCCTGATTGGTTGGGAGTCTTGGTCTGTGTTTATTGGTCTCGGAGTTTGCTGTGTTCTGCTTGATGGGTGTCTCTGATATCTTCTGTCTGTTTTTTGGCTCTTTTTGTATCTTGATTGGCTGGCAGCATTGTGTTACTTTAATGGAGGCCTTTAGTGCAGCTTGGCTTCGGGTAAATGGACGGCTATCATTAGTTAGGAAGCTGGGTTTCATCTGGGTGTCTGGTTGGGGTGTGTTTGAGCTGGAGGTATCAGGGGGGATCTGTTTGTGCCCAGGTGTTTGCCTGGCTTGTGGTGTGGATATTTTTTTGTTTGTGAGTGCAGGCTTCCAAATGATTGACAGCCTGGTGGAATCATCTCTTCTGTTCATGCTTTCTGGTCTTTTTTCAATCT